GGGATCCGAACCCTCGGACGGGAGCGCCGCCGCGCTTCCCAAGCGGCGCACTATCCAGTGCGCCACCGGGCCGGCCCCTAGATCTTTTTTTAAAAAAGTCTTCATATAGATTTTTCTAGGCTCCTTAGAGTTTCATTTTTTAATCTTTGTATCTTGCCTCCAGTTGAAATTTGTCCTAGTGTGAAACATGAGGGGTATTTTCATTTTAACAATATGATGAGGAAACAAATGCTAAGGAACTTGCTTAAGGTTACCAAGTTCACACACGGCGGAGATGCGAGTCAAACCCAGGACTATCCAAATCCAAAACTCGTGCTCTTAACATAGGACCTACAATGGTATGGCTTGTAGGATTATTGTGAGCATTAATGAGCAAAGTTTAAACGTATATTTGTGTGTAGTGGGGCGTAGGATATGTGTGGATGTTTTCTTTAAATCTCAGTACTCCAAACTGACTATTGCTTTCTTCATCTTGAGGATCGTTATTGTATGTGCTGAGCACCAAGCTTTGCTAGATCTTTGAAGCACATTTGTTTTAATGCTTTTCCCTTTCTTCCCCGTCCAGGTTCACAGAATGATTGCTGAGTTCAAGTTGATTCCCGGACTCAATAATTTGTTCGACAAGCTGATTTGGAGGAAACATTCAGCATCTGCCCTTGTCCTACACGGTCACAATCAGAACTGTGACTGTAGCCCGGTAAGCAAGAGACCCTGGGAACAAATGGGGCATTACTTGCTAGGAGTAGTTGTTTCAACTGCTGCTGACCTTTTGACCTCTCATTCTTTGGGAGTAGAGCGGAAACTAAGAGTCATGTTTTATAATCCTCCCAGTGGAAAGCTACCTTGGGCGAGGATCTGAGCCAGCCCCTCTACCTCTGCAGAAATGCCTTTTAAAGTGTTCCTGCCTAGGGCCTTCCAGCCAGCTTCTCCTTGTACACCTCTAGGATAGGGCTATCCAGGGCTATCCAGTCCATTACCTAGCAACAAGTTGTTCCTTATTCCATGTTCTATCACATTTTAATTTACATCCACTGATACGAGATTTGCCTCCTAGAACCACACACCACCAATGGTCTACGTCAAAAAAGGGCTTTGGGGGCAGGCCAGTTAGCTCAGTTGGTTACAGCATGGTGTTATAACACCAAAGTCAAGGGTTTGAATCCCCTACTGGCCAGTCAACAATTAAAAAAAGGTGGGGGTGGGGAGGGCTTTGGGATGCTTTGTGTTTTGGGGACCAAGGACTTGTCTCTGTCTTGCGACTCTTATAGTACTCTAGAGAGAGCACTGAGGTGGGACTCAGAAGGCGTGTGTGCCATTCACCTTGTTGGGAGAGCTTGAATGAGTTGCTGACTACCTAAGCCCTTGTTTTCTTGCAAAAAGGAGGGTAGGCTAGTGCCAGGGACAAGGGCCCCAATCTCTGCACTGTGTTCTGGAGACATTCCTCAGTGCCCTGTCTTCCACTTTACCATTTTTCTCTTTAGCCTTGTCAGATTTGTCTTTCAGTCCATCCATTTGAGTTTTTAACTTCAAGTGAATGTATTTTTCATTTCCAGACATACTGTCTGGCTCTTTTTTAAAAACTGCTTACTTAGTCTTTGTTCATCATGTTAATGTCTTGTCTTTCTTCTGTTGAATGTTTCTCTTTAGTCATTTGTAACATACTTTCTTTCTTTTTATTTTATTTTATTTTATTTTATTTTTTTTCCTTTTTGTCTTTTTTTTCGTGACCGGCAACGGATCGCAACCCTCAGTGTCGCGCCCGTACCGGACCGGGACCGGCCACGGGATCGCAACCCTCGGTGTTGCTCCCGCCCCTCGCTCAGCCAGTGAGCAGCCGGTCTGTATGTGGGATCCGAACCCTCGGCAGGAGCGCCACCGCGCTTCCCAAGCAGCGCACTATAGCAGTGCGCCACCGGGCCGGCCCCTTAACATACTTTCTTAGGTTCTCTTTCAATTGCTTATGGGTTACTAATGCTTGTGTTTGGGTCTTCAGACACTCAGGTTGGAGTGTTGCCTCCTGTTTTGTAACTTTTACAGAGAGGCCTCCTTCAGTGGGGCTTGTTTCCCCTGTGGGTACCTGTGTAGCATTGGCCATGGAAGTATTTCTTTCTCTCTTTTTGGTGGCTGGCCAATACAGGGATCCAAACCCTTGACCTTGATGTTATAACACTGTGCTCTAACCAACTGAAATAATGGGCCAGCCCACCTGGAAGTATTTCTACAGGGTACTTTTGCTTTGTCTGCCAGGTACTTCAAGGGGTATAACCGTCCCAAGGTCAGTTTCCACATTTAGTGTCTTGGCCCTGCCACTCTGGTAGTATGAGCCCAGGGTTTCTACTTCTGGAAGGTTCCCCTCCAGCTGCCAGCAGCACCCTGGCAGAGCCAGGCTTCTTTTTTGTTTATTTATTTATTTATTTATTTTATTTTGTGGTGTGCCAGTTTTACTTATTTATTATTTACTTATTTATTTATTTTTATTGAATCATAATTGATTATACATATTTTTGGGATTCGTTTTTGACATACGTTGATCAAATCAATATTACTAGTATGTATATGTTACAAATTGTACTTATTCTTTATGCCCTTTGTCCAATCTCTCCCTATACCCCTCTCCCTCCCCCCTCCCACCACTGGTAACCGTAGATTTCTTCTCTCCCTCTGAAAGAGTAATGGTTACTCTGTTGGTTTGTTGCCTAGATGATCTGTCCAGTGCTGAAAGGTGTGTTCAGGTCCCCAAATATTATCACAGAGCAGATGCTTCTTCTGTCACTCTGGAATGGGCTTTGTGGAGAGAGAGATCCTATTCTTTTATTTGGTTTCTGCTGGTGACTCTCCTTGTGTCAATGCACTCCAGTGGCTGGCGGACCATCTGCGTGGTGGTTGTGACATCTAGCCACTTTCGCAGTAGCTATGGTTACTGTGGTGGCTGTGGTGGGCCATCCACATGAAGGTGATGTTTTTGGCATACTCCTTGGCATTGGTGGTGTGCCTGGGTTCCAGGCCCCGGCTCCCTGCCCCAGGCCCCCAGGCGGGGCTCCGAGGCACTGGCAGTGTGCCTGATTGTGGGGGGGGGGTCCAGTCCCCAGCTCGATGCCCCCGGCCCCTGGGCGGGGCCCCAAGGTACTGGCAGTGTGCCTGGGTTTTGGGTGGGGAGTCCAGACCCTAAAGCCAGACTTCTTTGCCAGCTCCCTGCACTGATATGTCAGGTCTTTCTAACCCTCCTTTCATCAGGTGTACATGCTCCCCAGGCTTTACATGGCCTGAAGCTCTGTCTGGTCCCTGCAGAGCATTCACACCCAAGCCCGTGTGACTAGGTCTTGTTTCCACCTCTCCACAGCTGCAAGCATCAGCTCCTAGCTCTCTGTTCTGAATTCGATCCTTTCATTTCTCATTCTTATGGATTTCCCTTGCTTTCTTATGAACTTAACCTCACATTTCAAAGAATTTTAGTTATTTTTTATCCAATATGCTGGGATGTTTTTAGCAGGAAGATTCCGCATAAACTTAATCTGCTGTTGGCTAGATGTGGAAGTCAAAAAATGGTTTTCAAACTAAAGAAAAGTCTTTATTGTACAAGAAGCAAAGTGACTTGCCCAGACTCTCACAGAGTTGATTTATTTTGTTTTATTTTGTAACGTTGTGACTGTGATTTTAACCTTGATGATACATGTGTATTTTAGGACATCACCTTGAAGATACAGTTTTTGAGGCTTCTCCAGAGTTTCAGCGACCACCACGAGTAAGTGTGAACACGTCCCTATGAGAAGAGCTGTCAGGCTGTCTTCCAAAGGCCTCTCTTCCCTTGTCCAGTCACTGACCTCAGCTCAGGAGGAGGATCTGGGGGCTGGTGTGACACTGTAATAAGAGCTGCCATATTTCCAGCCCTTCCTTTGTGCCGGCCCTGTGCTGAGCTTTCCCTTAGCCTTCACAGCCACCCTAAAAAGTAAGCATGGAAGCTGTTGGCCTCTTCTTACACCTGGCATCAGTGCCCCTCTCAGAAGACTGTCCCTCTGAACCAGGAGTGGACAGCTTGGCTGTTCACAGGGGCTGGCAGGAACCTCAGACAGGCAAAGCTGGCTGAGTGTTTGCTTATTGAACACAGGGGGCATTTTTTGCCTCCACAAGGCATCTCTCCCATTTTTCTCAGACTACATTCTGCCCTCTCATTTTTTGTTTTTCAGCCTGTGATGGAGAATGTACAGGAAAATGATTGCTATAAGGAAAAGAGTGCAGGGAGGGGTGAAGAGCAGCTGACCCTTGACCTTGGGGCACTGGGGGTGGTGAAGACCTTGGCGAACTGAAACAATATGCCGCCACTGCTCAGCTCCAGCCAGCTGCAGGTGTATGGGAAACTGGGCCCACTGTTACACAGCTTCTGATTTCCTCCTGGCAAGGAAAGCCAGAATTTAAGATTTATGTGAAAAGTTCTGATTTTTCAATACTGGTTTATAGGCTGGCCAGTTAGCTTACTTGGTTAGAGCATGGTGCTGATAGCACCAAGGTTGAGGGTCTGCCAAAAAAAATAAATAAATTCTTTTGAAACATTGTTAAGCTAACAGAAAATGCCTGAGGACAGATGTGGCCTCAGAAGCCTCTACTTTGCAACTCCCCTCTTGATCATGCCTGACCATCCTCTTTGAGAGGTTCTCTGGCTGCAGGGCATATAGAAGCTCCAGAAAGTATGGAAACCTTCTGAAAGAAGGCAGTAGTAGTTTATGGAAGTACAATTTTTTCCCCTGAGGAGATGGGTCCCTAGCTTTCATCAGACTCAAATCTGAGCACTTCTCTGGGGATACACTGGTGAATGAAACAGCCACGGCCGTGCTCTCATGGAGGGTACAGTCTGGGAAGGGAGATGGGACATTCATCAGAGAACTTCACCAGTGGGTGTGTGGGGACAAATGGAGATGGCATTTGGGGGGAAAGGAGCATGGTCTGTGAGAGGATGTTTGACAGGGGTCTTGACCTGTCCAGAGGGCACTCAAGCACTCTTCCCTGCAGAATTAACTTGTCACTGAAGGGTCACTGGTAGTCAGTTGGGTGAAAAGGCAGTCTGAGAGGGTGAGTGTTCTAGCCAGAAGCCCCTATGGGAGGGAGCGCAGTGTGTTCAGGAAATCCAGTGTGGCCTGATGATGGGAGAGATGAGGGCTTGGCTCAGGGCAAGGCTGCACAGGTGATTAGTCACCAGACCACACAGGGTCTGGTGGGTCATGTTCACAGATCTGGATTTTATATATTCTTAAAGCAGTAAGAAGCTGTGGAAGTGTTTTAAACAGGAATGACAGAGTACTGTTTCTGAAGGTCACTCTGGGTGCTGTGTGAGGACCCAATTCCTGTGGGAGACCATTTAGGAAGGTGGTGCCATGCACAGGACGTGGGTGCTGACAGGCCTGGATGGGAAGGGGGTGGGGTCACAGCTGACCACACCTCTGCTTGTGTGACTGACTGTGGCCGGTGGAATGCTGCAGTAGGGCCAGGTGGAAGGAGTAGAACGACAAGTGTGACTGGACATGTTGAGGTCAGGTGCCTTTGAGAAATCAAGCAGAAATTTTTACTGTGACTGACTGTGGCCGGTGGAATGCTGCAGTAGGGCCAGGTGGAAGGAGTAGAACGACAACTGTGACTGGACATGTTGAGGTCAGGTGCCTTTGAGAAATCAAGCAGAAATGTTTAGCAGGCAAAAGAAAGGCTGGAGGTGCCAAGGGAAGGGGCCTCGTTAGTGAGTGTGGCAGGCAGGGGTGGGCCACAGCCTGAGCACCCAGGTGCCCTCCTTCAGAAGGCTGCTCGGGGCTGAGGGGTCCTGGGGAAAGGCATCTGGTGGATCCTTCCATTCTCTCTCTTTCCACAGGAGATGGGCAGGAGGCTCCCTGCACTAGTCCAGTGCTGAGTTGTCAGCCTAGTTCCTGCCCTTCACCCCATGCGATCCATTTGTTTCAGGAACAAGTACCTGCTACTCAACAACCAGGAGCTGAACGAACTCAGTGCCATCTCCCTCAAGGCCAACATCCCCGAGGTGGAAGCTGTCCTCAACACTGACAGGTGAACTGGGGGGGAGGGGGGGGTTGCTGCTTTGGCCACAACCCACCCTGGCTGCCTGCATGCCCCAGGGCTCACAGATGGGCACACACAGGTGTGCACGTGTGTCCTTTCTTGCTCATACGTAGCTGTGACGTCCTGAGAGCTCCTGTGTGCCAGGCAGTGGATGCACGTCACCTTCATTTTCTCATGTGAGCTTCACAGCAGCCCTAGGAGGGAAGTGCCATCATCACCTCCACTTTACAGATGAGGGAGCAGAGGCTTGGAGACATTACCTTGCAGAGGCATCTGTGTTCTGCAGCCCTCCCCTTGTCATGTGCATATGGCGCCTTTGCTGATGTGCTCTTTTCTTGCCTGGGGCAGCTGCAGCCAAGCAGAGCAGACAAAAGCAGGCCTTTCGGCCTCTCATCCTCTGCCGAGAGTTGAGTCCCATTGCCTGTCTTATATTTCCTCATCTTCTGAGGCAGGGTGATGAGGTGACAGGCTCGCAGGATTCAGAATAGGGCAGACTTTACCAAGCAGCAGGAGCCATAATTTCCCATCCTTTTTTTTAAGGCAGCAGAACTCTTTGTTCAAATGGAATTGTACACAGTCCTGCCCTAATGTGTGTAATGGATAAAAGTAGAGCTGCTCTATTTGAAGATGGAGTTTAAGGGCCCAGACACTGCCTGCTTGGCCATCTTTTTTCCCTCATGATGGCGCCTGAGTCACTTCCTCATCTGCTGCCTTTATTTCATACACCAGGAAGCTGAGGCCTGGAGGCATGGGTACTTGTCCGAGGCCCAGCTGGAAAGGAACCTCAGGCGGGGAGTACTGTGGACCCCACCCTGTTGGCCCAGACCTTGCCCCATCTGGCAGATTCTGTCATGGCCTGTTTCATTTTTGCTGTAAACAGCCCTTCCTCCAGCAGTTCTGAGCCCTGTCTGACTCTCGATGTGCCTCTGTCCTCTTGCTATTGGGTTTGGGGCAGGAAAGCTGGCCTGAGATGCAGCGAGGGTGCACTTGGCTGTTCACTTCTGTGACTGCAGGAGTCTCTGGGGGCCCTGGTCCCAGGTGGAGCAGGAGGGCATCCTGCAGACTTGGAAATGTCCCTGTGGTTTTTCACCCACCTAAGCCAGCAGAATGACCCAGCCCTAAGGCCCCTGTCAGCCTCCCAGATTGGCCAGCAATGTCCCTGTCTTTTATTTCAGGAGTTTGGTGTGTGATGGGAAGAGGGGCTTATTAACTCGTCTACTGCAGGTCATGAAGAAGGAACCAGCTGAGTCATCTTTCAGGTGGGTCTGAGGACAGGTACCTGGCACTTCTGAGGGGTGCGGGAGCCAAGCGTTTCTCCTTGAGTTACCTGCGCCCACCCTGGAGGGCGGTTACTGCTGGGGAGGAGCGGTTTGACTACCGTCTCGCCCTGGCTTGACTTGGCAGGGATGTGTGAGCTGCTGCTGCTGCTGCTGCATGCCTGCAGTATGTTCCAAGAACAGCCCGAGTGCTCACCAGGCACCTGTTCTGTGCTGGTGCTAGATGGGTGGAAGAGAAGCAGGGTACCAGGCCCTACCCACATGGAGTTCCTTGGGGTTGTAGGAAACAGGCATGAAGAGAAACCTGTTCCAATGCAGGATCTGGCCCAGGAGCTGCAGGAGCAAAGGAAAGCTCCTGCCCCTGTTGGGGACTGGTGGGGGTGGGTGTGGACAGGGAGGCCTTCTCAGAGTCCCTTAGTCTCATCATGGATGCTCAAGGGGTGACTGAAGGAGTGGACATGAAGAATTCCATCAGGGCTGGGTGTGAGCTGTCTGTTGGCTTTGTGCCCAAATGGTCCCTTGTCACCTCAGCTTGCCTTGTCCAGACTCCCCATCATGGAGCCCCACTGTACTCACTGGGCCAGTCACCATCAGCCACCTCTCCTCTAGACCAGCCCATCACATGGAGCTCAGTGGCCTGTCCACACATGTCTATCAGCTTCCCTCACACATTCCTGGCCCCTTAATTCCATGTCCTCCTTTCTTCTAAAAGGACAAAGCCTAGAGTGTATTTTCACCTGGGACCCACTAGAGCCAGTGCTTTGGTCCCAGATGCCATCTTCCCTGTAACACAATCCCTTCCAGACAGACCTAGATAGAAGACTATTCCCCATTGAGCTGTTACCTCCAGGAGGATGGGGATTCTTTTGCTTAGTGCTGTGTCCCCAAGGGCTAGAGTGAGGCCCATTGCCTGGTAGATGTTCAGTAAATATCTGTTGAATACATGAAAAGGCAGCAAACATCTCCCAACCCCTTGGGAACTGAACATGGGCCGGAAGAGGGCAGCTTTAGCCACCTGGGCCAGGGGTCAACATTTGGGTCGCAGGTTTTGGCAAGCCCGGGCTGTGGAGAGTTTCCTCCGAGGGACCACCTCCTATGCAGACCAGATGTTCCTGCTGAAGCGAGGCCTTCTGGAGGTATGGCCTGGAGGAGCCAGGGTGTCGGGTGTCCATTCTCCCCGCGGCCCCACACATTGCTTTCCTGTCCTGAGCCCTAAATAGTTCATCAGGAGCAGACGAAATCTCATTTTTAAACGCCACTGCAGATTGTTCTAGTGTTTGCCCTGGTTTCTAGCTCTGGATTTCCCATGGGTGTTCAAGAAGTGATTGAGGGATTTAGGGGGTGGCCGTGCAGAAGGGTAAGAGTCTAGAGTTGTCCAGCAAGGCCTTTTGACCCCGAGGATATTTTGATACTGACTAAAAGTTAATTTTCCTTTACTGAATAATGACCTTCAGAAAGAGCAAAATTTACAAAGGAGAGGGAGCAAAATAGTTGAAGTTATAATTGGTTTTAGAAAAAATTGATATGGATGAGAAACTGACCCATAAATTGTTGTAAAGTCCGTATGGGAAAGAATTGATCCAAATCAATGTAACTTCAAGAAAATGAAAATGGAAAATGTTGGAAACAGTTTAACTTGTAGAAAACTTTATCAAGGAGTTAAATTGGCTTTATGTTCTTGATAAAAATTCATTGATTTGGGTTTTAACTTTAAACAATTTCATTTATAAACACAAAGACAAACCATGGGGTCAAAACATGTCCTGTGCCCTCAAGCTCTGTCCTTCATTTACTTGAATGGCCTCTGTGTGTGGACAGTGGCTGATCTTGGGTCCGGAGATGGTACCCCTTGCCTGAGAGCTGAGTGCTCTGGCCATTTGGTGACTACAGAGCAGGTTAGAGGCTTCAGCTATGAGCCCTGGGCAAGTGAGAGATTGTGCTACATAGCCCACCCGTTCCCCTCTCCTGGTGAGGCATGTTGGACCTGGACCTGGCCTTGGCACCACCAGCATCCTCAGCTAAGAGTCTAGACAGGCCTGCAAGTTCCATCGACCTGGATGCTTGCTTAAAGCAGATGTGGGGCCTGAGCTCCATGCCAGGCCCCGGGGAGAGAGAGGTGGGGGCAGCCCCATTCACACCTTCACCCTGTGCCCTCCTCATCCCCAGCACATCCTGTACTGCATTGTGGACAGCGAGTGCAAGTCAAGGGATGTGCTCCAGAGTTACTTTGACCTCCTGGGGGAGCTGATGAAGTTCAATGTTGATGCCTTCAAGAGATTCAATAAGTACATCAACACTGATGCAAAGGTATGGTTAACCCAGGCCTCCGTGAAGTTTGCTGGACTGTCTAGAAGTTATCTTAGAGCCCTGTTCTGCCAGTCTTCAGGTGTGGGTTTAAAATTGGAGAATGCTGGGGAGTCAGTGGCCAGTCTTTAGCAAACATTCGTTAGTGCTGTGCCAGACCCTGGGGATACTGGGAATACCTCAGCTGCTTGTGGGCAGGGAGTGAGGGTGGGAACAGGTGGGATGTGAAACTGTTGTGTGGTGGGTGGCGTGGTGGGAGCCCTAGGAGGGAGGGACTGGGCCTTGTGTGTTAGGCTCACAGGGGCGGATGTGACAGAAGCTCAGCTCAGACTAGCTGAAGTAAACATTAGAGGAATCCAGCCCCCTGCAGTGGAAAACCACTGGACAGAGTGGCAGAGGAGCTGGGCTGAGCTCCTGGTTGTGCTGCTTAGTAGCTGGGTGCTGAGGGCAGGTCACTCAGCTTGTCTGACCTCTGTCTTCCTGTCTGTGAAGCAGTGGGCTGGGGTGGAAGAGGCCAGCACCCCTTGCAGTGATTGCCCACCCTGGGCCACGGTTGTCTCTGGGCAGCATCTTGCTGCCTCCCGTCAGCTCCGGCTCTACTCCAGTTCCAGGTGTTCCTGAAGCAGATCAACAGCTCCCTGGTGGACTCCAACATGCTGGTGCGCTGCGTCACTCTTTCGCTGGACCGATTTGAAAACCAGGTGGACATGAAAGGTAGGAAAAAGCCAGGACAGATCAGTCCAGCGTGACAGTGCAGTCTCAGCAAGGAGACCAGAACCACTGCAGTAGCCACATGTGCAAACACCCGGGTGGCTGATGTCAAGGTGGTGGCTCTCTGGGTGGTTTGCTTCGTTTGCTGCTTTGACTTTTCTCTGTTGTTCATGCTTCCTTTAATAAGCAGGTATGACATTTTAGTAAAGGAAGAAAACCGTTGTTGCCAGCAAAATACAAAAAACAAACAAAAAACATCTTCCTCTTCTGGGCTGGGATTGCCTGGGATGAGATAGGGCGCTTTGTTTTCAGTCTCCCATGCAGTGGTGGCATGGAGGACCTGTGGCGTGGCGGGGGCGTCTGAGCTCACCTGGAGTTGCTTACACACTTTGATGCGCATATGTACACTTGGACTTTTTTTCCTAGGAGAGGGGCTATGGCATCTAGCAGATTCTCACAAGGTGTGACCTTCCAACCTACCACCAAAAAACATACTTGTCCCTTGTCACAATCATTGTCATTGGTAGCAAGAAGTTTCCTTGTCATTTGGTAATTTAGCCATTCGTCTCCTTTTTCTGCCCCAAAGAGTCTATTTCAGGGGAATGGCCACACAGATTTGAGTACATTGAGCTGTGGCCCCCTCCTCCCAATATCGTGGGAGGCAGGCACGAGTGGAAGAAGCAGACCCTCTGCACAGTGCGTCCCGACAGGGCCTGACACTCTTGAGAGTGTTAGGCACTTTGGAAAACGACTCGAACCTTTTCATTGTTTTCTTAATTTAGTGTTGTTGATCTGTCTTCCTGCCCAGGAAAACTCTACTGTGTGTAATATGGAGGAGCAAGGGTCTGGAGCCAGGCTGGGGAGGCTGCTCCCTGAGCGTGGTTCTGCAGGACAAGGTGGGGAGCTCCCGGGGGGCTCTGGGGAGAACATAGGCGTAGCCTGGGGGCAGCACAGCGGGAGATCATTTCTTCCTGCTGCAGCCTGCTTCTGTTGTTGTTTTGGTGGTGAGGAGCTCCCAGCTTCACAGAGGCAGGATTCAAGGTGAGCTCTTCTAGAGGCCTAGGTGGACCTGCCACTGGGCCTGAGCTCGCTGCTCACATCTCTGCCTCCCTCCACAGTTGCTGAGGTCCTGTCCGAGTGTCGCCTGCTTGCCTACATATCCCAGGTGCCCACGCAGATGTCCTTTCTCTTCCGCCTCATCAACATCATCCACGTACAGACGCTGACCCAGGTGAGAGGCTTAGCAGACGGGCAGTGGGGGAAGGTAGACTGGACATGATTGCCCTCATCCTGGAGCCACCAGCGTCTGTCTCCATCTCCCTCCCTCGCTCTAGAAGTGCATCTCCTGAGCCCCAGCTCTTCTAAGGTCACAGACTGAGCCAGGTCACAGTCAAGATCGGCACTGTGTTCTTCTAACTCCACTCCAGTCCTTCCCTGCCTTTCCCCAGCGTCCGACGTCCCCCGCCCCTCCTGCTGTGCCAGCCATTGGAATTAGACCTGAGATTGCCTCCCAGCCCCCTCACTGAGCAGCTGTGCAGCTTCCCTTCTCTGAGCTTCACACGCCTCTTTCCTGAGGTGTGGGTAATACTAGTGCCTCTCAGAGGTGATTCTTTTGCTCTGCCATCTAACAAATGTTTGTTGAGGCTAGGCCCTGGCCAGGGGATGCACAGCAGACAAGACAGAGACTCTTCCTCCCGAGGCTCACTGTCTAGTGCTGAGGGAAAGTTTTAAAGTGAGATTACTGCACCTAACATGTGTACCCAACCCTGTCTGGGTATCAAATCTTCCAAAAGCAGCAATGCCTGAGCTGAGATCTGGATAAGGACAGATGTCATTGCTGTCAGGGTGGGGATGGTGGTGGGTGGACGTGAGGAACAGTAGGGTTCTCAGGCAGGATGCTGGTGGTGCTGGCTTTCCTCCTTCCCCCCAGTCTTGTCTCAGGGCTGTGTTGGGCCAGCTCAGTGGGTGGCCTCTGGACTTTGCTGGAACCATGCAGGGCCTAGGACAACCCTCCTTGCTGCCTGTTGGCTGCCCAGGTTCACCAGAAGCCACTGGGGCTACAGGCACACACCTAACCATGGCTGGCCCGGGGCCTTGCAGGAGAATGTCAGCTGCCTCAACACTAGTCTGGTGATCCTGATGCTGGCCCGACGGAAAGAGCGGCTGCCCTTGTACCTGCGGCTGCTGCAGCGGATGGAGCATAGCAAGAAGTATCCTGGCTTCCTGCTCAACAACTTCCACAACCTGCTGCGCTTCTGGCAGCAGCATTACCTGCACAAGGACAAGGACAGCACCTGCCTGGAGAATGTGAGTGCCCCACCCCCAGAATAGGTGGAACAGGTGGTGGGTAGTCAGCAGGCACACAGACCCAGGGCCCCTCAGAAGGGCATCCGGGGTGCATGGTCCCCTCCTGGGCAACGTGGCGGGCAGCTCTTTGTCCCCTTACCAAGGCCCTCTCCACGGGGTGCCAGGCTTGACCTGGGTCTTCCAGGCACCCCCAGCCCCTTTCTCTTTGCCCAGAGCTCCTGCATCAGCTTCTCATACTGGAAGGAGACAGTGTCCATCCTGTTGAACCCGGACCGCCAGTCACCCTCTGCCCTTGTCAGCTACATCGAGGAGCCCTACATGGACATAGACAGGGATTTCACTGAGGAGTGACCCTGGGCCAGGCCTCAGGAGGCTGCTGGGCTGGGGCCAGTGTGGGTGAGCATGGGTACACGTGCCACACACCCTGTCCTGTTCCCACCCCCTCACTCCCACCTCCCTGCTGCTCTCTGCCTGCCCCAGGTCTAAAGGTACAGGCTTGGTGGGAGGGAGAGTCCTAGAAGCTCTTGGCCCCTGGGCCTGAGGGCCCCAGTTCATTAGGGAGACTCAGTTCCCTCTTGATCCCCATGATGAGGACAGGGACACCATGCCCACCCACGCTTCAGGGCCCTGGCCCACCCAGAGTTAGGGAGACTCCTAAAAATAGCTCTGTCTGAGCTCCTGCCCAGTCTCTTGTCTGTCAGTCCTGGGGTTAGGGAGACTCAGTTCCCTCTTGATCCCCATGATGAGGACAGGGACACCATGCCCACCCACCCTTCAGGGCCCTGGCCCACCCAGAGTTAGGGAGACTCCTAAAAATAGCTCTGTCTGAGCTCCTGCCCAGTCTCTTGTCTGTCAGTCCTGGGGTGGGGAGGAAGATATGGGCGCCCCCCCGTCTGTGAGCTGAGCCTCCCCTGTCCCTGGCCTTTGGACCCAGGCAAAGGCTTCTGAGCCCTGGGCAGAGGTGGGGCTACCAGAGAGAGAATGCTGCCTTCCCGCAAGCCTGCCCATCTGTTCCTCCCTCCCTTGTTTTCCTTTAGCTCCTCTGGTTCTGTTTGCTCATTGGCCGCTGTGTTCTTCCCAAGGGGTTACCCCAGAAGTGGGGGGCCTTTTCCCTCCATCCCTTGGGGCACAGGGTGGCTGTGCCTGCCCTAGGCAGCATCTCCTGCCTGAGCCCAGACACAGGAGCCTGGCTGGGAGCTCACTCTCAGCCCCTCCTTGTGTTGCCAATTTATTAACAACAAATAAACCAATTAAATGGAGACTAGTAAAGAACTTTATTTTAAATGACTGTTGTGAACCTGACTTTTATCCGTGGGCCTGTGTGAAATTGAAATTCACCTCCCCCTCGAATTTCAAAGTAGGAGAAGGAAACCAGCTGGAGCTACAGATGCGGCATTTATTCAGGGTCTTGGGGAGGATGAGGGGCTGCAGATGGGGGTGAAAAGATGACACATCCGGGTTGGGTAGCTGGAGGTGAATGATAGACAAACAGCATATGTCCTTCTTCAGAGGCCAGGGGCTCAGGCTGTCACTCCTTGTGCTGAGGGAAGAGGGATGGCCAAGTGAGCTGCACCACCTCCTCTGCCCCGTGCAGAGGGCGGTGCCCCATGCCACCCCTCACCTTGGAGCCTAGGGCATCCCGGGTCCGTGCCCGTAGCTTGTTGGCCTGGGTTTCTGCCATGTCTGCCCGCTCCTCTGCATCGTCCAACTCGTGCTGGGCTTTGCGATATTTGGCCAGGTTGGTGTTAGCCTGCTGCTCCTAGAGGCACATACAGGGCCTTGGTAACTGAGATGGTCATTCTGGTCCCTGCCCCATCCCCAGAAGGGAGCTGGCTTCTGGTCCTCAGCTCTGTTGCTACTACTGTTCTCCCTCCTCACCAGCAGCTGCGGCAGGTATTAGGAAGTTAAGACTCCTTTGAAAGGCGCCTGCGAGCCAACCCAGCCCATCAGAGGCCATCTCCAGCCCTGGCGAGGGGAAAGCACATGGGCGCACTCCGAGAGACAGCTAGGTCTAGCCTTTTCCTGGAGCTGTGAGAAACCTTTCTCCCCATGGGCAGTGGGTCACTGAGCTGGGAGGATGGAGCTGCCACCCCTTAGGGAGCCTGCTGCTGATGCTTCACCTGGCCAGTTGGGCCAGCCCAGGCATGCTGGCCAGTAGTAGGCCCCAGGTGCCCAGTCCTCAGCGCACTCACCGCCTCCTCGAACTGGCGCTTGTAGCTCTTGACCTTGCTCTGCAGCTTGTCCACTAGGTCCTGCATACGAGCCAGGTTCTTCCTGTCCTCCTCGGCCTGGGCAGGCACAGGGGACTTAGGACTTGCGTGGATGGAGCCAGCTCCAGGGCTGCCCCCAGGGTAGACCCTGTCACCCACCTGGTACGCAAGCTCCTTGACCCGGCGCTCATGTTTGCGCACCCCTTTGAGGGCCTCAGCATGCTTCTTCTGCTCTGCGTCCAGCTCAGCCTCCAGCTCCCGCACCTGCGGGCAGCCAGGGGACGGGCCTGATGGCCTAGTGTGCCCTCAGACTGCCCACCCTGCCTGGGGAAAGGACTGGAGGGGCCGCACACACCTTGGCCTCCAGCTTCTGCACCTGCTTCTTCCCGCCTCGGAGGGCGGCCTGTTCTGCCTCCTCCAGCCGTGCCTGCAGCTCCCGCACCGTCTGCTCCAGGGTCTTTTTCATCCGTTCCAGGTGTGCACTCGTGTCCTGCTCCTTCTTCAGCTCCTCGGCCATCATGGCTGCCTGCAGAGGAGATGGCATGGTCAGAAGGTGGCCAGCCCCAGAGGAAGTCCCTCTGGGCTCTGCCCCAGGCCCCCCACAGCCCTGGCCCAGCCTCACGTCTGTGATGGCCTTTTTGGCCTTCTCCTCGGCCTCCCGCCTCTCTTGGGCAGCCTCCTCCACCTCCCCGCTCAGCTGGGCCAAATCCGCCTCAAGCTTCTTTTTCTGGTTCAGAAGGCCCGTGTTCTAGTGGGAAGCAGAGTCTCAGAGCTGGCCAGTGGGCCTCCACCCCACCCATCCCCGTGGGCCCCACTCTCCGTCCCCACCTGCGAGTGCAGGAGGTTGAGGCGCTCGGTGGCCTCCAACAGCTCCTGTTCTGCCAGCCGCCGGCTGCGCTCGCCCTGTTCCAGGGCGGCCCGCAGCTCCTCCAGCTCGGCAGCCAGCAGCGCAGCCCGGCGCTCCAGGGCCTGTGCCTGCTCACGGAGCTCGGCAGCCAGCCGCTGCTCTTCGTCCCGCCCTGCCTGCTCCTCCTTGAGTTGGGCCTGCAGCAGCCGCATGGCTGCCTGTGCCTCCATGGCCTGGCGGGCGGCATGGCCCAGCTGTAGCTCCAGGTCATTGAGGTCGCCTTCCATCTTCTTCTTGAGCCGCAGTGCCTCATTGCGGGCCCGGGTCTCTGCGTCCAGGGAGGCCTGCAGGGACTCCACTGCCCGCTGGTGGTTGCGCCTATGGCAGGGTGAGATGGAAGGGGCGCCTTAGCACATGGGAGACGCAGGTGGGTGCAGGCATCACACCTGCCGTTACAAACACTCAAGGATTGGTGGGGACAGGAGCCCATTTCGGTAACAAGTGAGTTGTCCCTCCCTGGTTTAAAGCCTTTTGTGACAGCCTGTTGCCTATCAGAGCAACAGGGACAAGAGCAAGGCTCAGAGACAGGCAGGGATGGACTCTGGCTCTACCCCACTGTGTGACCTTGGGCAAGTCCCTTAGCTTCTCTGAGGCTCACCTCCAGAATGGGACCACTTGACCCGATAGAGTCATGTGGGGGAGGCAGCCTGTGCACACAGTGGGGCGGCACATGCAGCTTCCCTCCCTTTTTCCTGCTCTCAAGAGGCGGGCACGGGAGAAGCTCCTAGCCCCAGGAGGAGGGATGGACATACCTCAGGTTAGCGCACTCCTCATCTTTCTCTGCCAGCTTCCGGTCCACTTCAGCCTTGATCTGGGATAGCTCCAGCTGGATCCGCAGAGTCTTGGTCTCCTCCAGTTCCAGGGCCCCCTGGGCATGTGGAGTAGGCAGTATGTGGATGGGGGCTGTGGGCATGTGTTCAGGGAAGTGGGAGGCCAGGGGAGCATCATTCACTCACTCACTCACTCACTCACTCACCCACTCACTCACTCACTCACTCACTCACTAACAAGCCTTCCCACGGCTCAGCTGACTGATCAGAGACTCCTTCTCCTCTAGGAGGCGGCTCAGCTCTCCTGCAGGCAAAGGAGAGGGTAGGTCAGGCAGGCGAGGGACAGCACCCAGGCCCCGCCTGGCATGTCCCAACTGAACCCCTGGCCTCACCGCTCTCAGTCTGCAGCCGCCCCCGCTGGGTGCTTGCGTCCGCCAGCTGCCGCTGTAGCTCCTCCACCTTGATCTTGGCCTCACTTAGTTGATCCTCATAGGCCCGGCATAGCTTCTCTGCACTGGCCTGGGATCCAGGGTCAGGGGTTGGGACAAGTTTGTGCATCAGAGGGCAGGATCTGGGGCTGCCAGGCAGAGACTGGGACCTGGGATCAGGAACTAGAAAGCTAGATATGGGCCCAGGAATCAAAGGGTGATGAGAGCCTTAAGTTCAGGGCCAGGCATTCTACTGCTAGGCTCCTGGCTTAACCAGTGGATGTCAAAAGGTGAGAGGGTCCCAAGGCCCTCTGAGGTAACCAGTCCCAAGGCCACTGAGTCAAGGTGAAGGTTAGGATGCTAGATCTGAGGGTTGGCCCGTGGCTCACTTGGGAGAGTGTGGTGCTGATAACACCAAGGCCATGGATTTGGATCCCTATATAGGGATGGCCGGTTAGCTCACTTGGGAGAGCGTGGTGCTGACAACACCAAGTCAAGGGTTAAGATCCCCTTGCCGGTCATCTTTAAAAAGTAAATAAAAAAATAAAAGATGCTAGATCTGGAGTCAGCTGGGGACAGAGGTCAGAGATCAGCTGCCACGATTAGGTGGTACAAAGGTCAGGGGTAAAGGTTGGGTGCTGGGGTTCAGAACAGAAACAGAGTCAGGACAGGTATTAGGTCAGAGTTCAGGAGTCAAGGGCGGGGTTCACAACTATGTTATGTCAAGGGTCTGACGTTGGAATTGGATGCTGGGTCAAAGATGATCTGGAGCCAGGGAATAGGATTTAGGAGTCAGGACTTGAGGTCAGGACTGGCCAGGGAAGATGGGGAGATGTGGGTTGGATGTCAGGTTAATGGGTCAGGGATCAGGATCAGGTATAGGATCAAGGCTGGTGTGGGGTCAGTATTGGCATGCAATGGCCAGGAGTCAATGGGTGGGGCCTACTGCTGGGGGCAGGATTGGTTTGAGGGAAGATGGGGAGATGTGGGTTGGATGTCAGGTTAATGGGTCAGGGATCAGGATCAGGTACAGGATCAAGGCTGGTGTGGGGTCAGTATTGGCATGCAATGGCCAGGAGTCAATGGGTGGGGCCTACTGCTGGGGGCAGGATTGGTTTAGAGTCAGGATGGGTATGGATAGGCTCAAAGGGAGGACTCAGGACTGGATGCTGGGGTCAGGGATCAGAGGTAGGGGTTGGGAAGGAGGCAGACACCTTGCTGCGGGCCAGAGTCTCCACGTTGGCTCCCAGATCGTCCACCTCCATGCGTAGCTCGCTCTTTTCCTTTTCCAGCTTCTGTCGCACCCGCTGCAGGCTGTCCACCTGCTCCCCCAGCTCAGCAGCAGTGTCCACCTGCTTGCGCCGCAGGGCCGCCACCGTGGCCTCATGCCGCAGTGCCGCCTCCTCCAGCTCCCGCCGCAGCTGCCCCAGCTCAGCCTCACGCTTGCGGCAGCCCTCGCGCTGCCCGGCCGACGCGCCACCTGCCTCCTCCAGCCGCTCACTCAGCTCCTCCAGCTCCCGGGCCGCCTCTGCCCGCTGCTTTTCAACACGGGCCCGGGCTGCCCGCTCCGCCTCTAGTTCCTCTTCCAGCTCCTCCGCCCGAGCCTGGCATGGGTGGGCAGAAACTGTACCTTGGTGGACCTCTGACCCCAGCTTCACCTGCCCTGGTCCCCCACGCACCTGCAGCTCCTTGATCTTCTTCTGCAGCTGGGCCCCCAGGAGCTGCTCATCTTCCACCCGCAAGTTCAGCTGACTCAGCTCGGAATCCTTCCTGGGAGCCACAGGGTGGGCATGAGCCAGCCAGGCCCCACCTTCCATCCACCTGCCAGGGGCCCCAGGAAACACCCCCTCCCAGGCCCTAAGTGACCTCACCCCTGTGTACCCGCTGCTCTGGACCTGCTGGGCCCTTGGTCGAGGGAGGGCAGGACACCCCCACGTACCCTAG